CTCTGGGATTTGTAGTCCACAGTTGTAGCCAGCAGTAAGTTTGAATGGGGGAAGGGGTGTTTAAACCCTTCCCTGGCCCCAGACCCCAGCCAGAATTTGCCAGGGGAGTGGGGACAGTCCCTGCTTATAGACTGGGCTGCACCCTGCCCCCCCTGCAGCTGAGGATGCATTCCTGCCCTTACCTCCCCTTCCCCTCCATTGTTAGGTAGCCCTCACTGCTCCAGCTAGGGAGCAGAAGGGCAGGGCCAACCCTGGTTTCTGGAGCAGACAGCCCAGCCCAGGGCTGGAAAGCATGCTGGTATGCTGGGGGACTGTAACTTAACTTGAACCAGGAAGGGGTCTGGCACAGAAGTTTCACAAGCTGGTTTGATCCAAATCAGTTAAGCTTAATATTGCATTCAACCAGTTTTACCTCTGCCAGGTTCAGCTATTTTGAAACTGGTGTATGTGCACTGAACATCTGTTCTGTTACAGGTTTAAACCAGTTTCTGATCACTTAAACCAGTTCACGTGTAACTTCTGTGCCTAGCCTTATTGACAATGCTGTGGCAGTTAAAATAGAAATTATCATTCTGATTAAGCCAAAAGAAACCCCAAGAACTGTTTTGTAAATTTCAACAAAATAGCAACATAAGTATCCTTTATGAACTCTTGGAAAGCCAATGGAACACTAAAAGAATAGGAGGAAAGATGGGGTGAAATCTTGGCTTTTTCGCAGTTAATAGCTAAACTCCAATTTATTCTGGTACTGCTATTTAGGAATTGGGGAATAGAAAACTGACCCTAAGTAAGCAATAGTTGGCTTCAGATTCTGATAGTGAATCAGGCTACCAAGGCTCCAGCAAACATTTTGAAGCAGTGTTAAGTAGTTCTTTCTTGTTTCTAATTTCTTTCTGTTAAGAAGAGATTTCTAGTAAGCTGCCAAGAATAATTGTATATCCTGTAGGAGAAATTTGGTTGGTTCAAGATTGTCATACTGCCTCGGGCCACATCCACACAAGCAGGAACATGCGATCTGAGGCATCTCAAAGCCTTTTGAGGCACTGCAAAGCACACATTGGGTCCTTTTTCTGTTTTACATATTTGCAGTGCAGCAGCAAAATTAGATACCCAGAAATCCCTGTATCTTAAAAAAAAAAAAAAAAAAAAAA